CAAATGCATTATAAATTATGTTACTGCAAAGGAATTTCTAAGATATACCATAAATTTTACAGTCGTTATTTGAACGAGTACGACTAAGAAAACTATTTTTGTCACAAGTGATCTACCTAGTGACGTCATTTTCACATTGTTACATCACAAACAAGGAGCAAAACTTAATTCAGCATATTCTATTTATAGAACTTGTGTATGGATATGTGTGTACAAAATTTGTTTCTAATCCGAATTGTGGATTTGTAGATATAGAGATAGTTTGCGAACTTTTTGATCACAAAATATGAAGTTTTCTTTCTGTAAAGTTTTTGAAGACATTTTCGAGAGTGTGTTTTTTTAAACATTTAACGCAAATAGAATTTCTCAAATAAATTTTCATTGATTCGACAGGGTAAAAACGAGATCTCGATTTTTCAGAACTTCATCCAAATAACAACGGTAAATTTTCCAAAATATGTATGTTTTATTGTATTACTTTTTAAAATTGATAAGAGTGACCCTTGAGTCGAAGCAATTTTGATGATGTACTTGATTCTATTTGCGTTCAAGATCTTAGAAATGTCTACATAAATTTCATAATACTGTTGTTGTTGCATATATATTATGTCTTAGTAGATTCTCTGATAATATAACTTCTTGAAGCAAATCACAAAAATTGATGATTTTCTTTTTTGACAAAATGATTATTTAATGTAATTTTTTGTAGAAAAAAAAATTACAAACCTGTCAGTCTTGATATGAATCAAAACAACAACTTGAAGAAAAAAAACCATTTGTCATCATTTACAAATAACTTAATAGTTCAGTTTTTTGGGTCATAATTCCACTTTTGAATTTACTGATACATGTATGTTACTTTAACATTGTTTAGATAAAAGGATTTTTGTCAATTGTCTCTTTGTATTGATCATGTTGATGTTTAGAACATTATATTATGCACTATATATAAAATTTACAGTTTGTTCAAATCCACCATTGATGGTTTTGGAGGTAAGTGTTTGTTTTTGTTGTAATCTGTGTTGATCGAATGAATGTTTGAACTTGAATACCGACATTTTAATGAATGAAAAATACACTGATCAAGTAAGACAAGCAAGTAATTATTCTGCTTATATTTACGAAAACATCATACTTATCACCCGTCTCGTAACATAAAAAAATATGTTTTTAAATTAGTAGGTTATGCTATTGAAAAAAAAGACAACACATATTGTTATCTTAAACAAATATGTCATGTTCACTGAAGTGAAACTAAAAAAAAGAAAAACAACTGACGAATGCTTACAGAGCGCTTTAGAACAGTATTTTTTCTAAAGCTGAGGATTTATAAGTTTTGTTTTTAAAAAATATATAATCAAATTAATGTGTTTCATACATAACATATCTTTATTTTATAAAAATTATAATTCAAATAAGTATTTCAAAAAATAACAATGGTTTGGGTAGCGTAAAAATGTGAAAACGATTAACCGATTTATTATACTGTTTTGTATTGATCATGTTTATCAATTTATCATGACTTTTTTCGTATTGTAGCCTATTTTCAAGTGCGCCTCATAAGCGACGGGGAATATGGTCCCCTGCAAAACCGGTTAACATATTCAAGATCCATCGTCGAAAGCTGCAAGGTCTTCGTCGCGCAGGCATTGTCTGGTCTTTAAAGTGCCTTGGATGTTCGATTGAAATGAACAAATCATTAGTTTTTAATTGCTTATATATGCTTTCACACCTGAAAAACACCTTAAAGTTAAACATTTATAGCTTTGGGATCACGTGAAAAAGTTATGTAATACAAGGGTCGAGATATGTGTGTCACTTATGTGTGTCTCACCAATGCACAAGAAAAAAAAGGGAGGAAAACAATTTAATTTCTGAAAATCATTTTTTTTTCTAATCTTGCGGAATGAGAGTGTCATTTCTTGACCCTAAACGTAAGGACAATTTTGTGATAAATTGCAAATAAGTACAGTATTTTTTAGGTCCCCTTTACCTCTAATCGAGTAATTTTGTATACTAAGTATACAGAAGTAATCTTCAATATAAAAATAGCAAAAATGATTTTTTAGAACATGTTTAAGAATGTTTGCTTGCCCACTTTAACTAAAGGTAAATTTATTGGGTTGGTAGGTTTATGTTAAAAAATCTTCTTTTTTTTTTTTTTTTTTTTTTTTTTTTTTTTGAGAATTTCAAAATATTTGTTGATTGGATAAGAGGGGGAAAATATCGTGACCTGGAATTTAAAAACAAAGTTCTAAGTCAGGCCATTTCTAGTAGTCGGTCTAGAGAGGGGAACGAGACTTTTTTTAGATGGTTTATATACTGAAACGCAAAAGAAACGCAACATCCTATTTTAGGGGAAAATAATGATATACAGTAAAGAATTTAGTATCTCAAAATTATTCATATCTTCAATTTTGTATATTTCAGTAATTTTACGGTTGAACGATTTTCGTACCATTTCCGGAAGTTAAGTTTAAGTCTGCTTAACAGAAATAAAAAATTGCATGTTTAATAAAACATTTGGCAATATCATGGAGTTATAAGGTTTTGTAACTGTTCATGATAAGTAATACAGCAATATTTCAAGAAATTAAATCTGCTTTTGTTTTTCGTTGCAATGCTAAGGCTTCCTAAAAATGACATAAGTACGTATCTCCATTGCTCTTACTGGAAAATCTACAAGTAAAGGTGAGGGAGAGTTACTGATGCAAAAATACATTACGCCTCAGCAGACTCTAACGTATCATATGCATTAATGACGGTCCGTGGACCGGAAGTTCAAGTGTTTCTTCACTGCGTTAGATTAGAGAAAATTCGACCTTATCAATTGAAAAACAGGCATTTTAAAAATGGCAAAGAATATTTCTTTGGCTCAGATCTCTATATTGATGAACCTATTGCATCGTAGAAATCAATCTGCAATTGTTGTGTGGGGCAGCCTTGCACGCTTTAAATGAAAGTCTGGGAGGGGGCGTTCTAACAGTCATATGGTACTTTTAAATTTAAAAGATAATCATTTAACATTTTTTTTTATCAAATTTCTGATGTTTTGAAAAGTGAGTTTAGCCTTATTAACTTAATTTTTGAAAATCATCAGATAAAAATTCAAATATTTGTAGATCACTGCTGGTTGCGTTTCTTTCGCGTTCAGTATATGTATCCTGTTAAAAAAAACAATTATTTAATCAGTACCAAATATAACATTTTTTAGATACGTATTTTTTCTTGATACATGCAATAGCTAAGATTTCAACAACAAAAAAAAGAATGAAAGAAACAAAATGAAAATTACATGTTCAAGTTATTATGGAAAAATAATTTTTAAAAATTAAATCTTAATGTATTGACAAATTTCAGAACGGCAATTTTGCACAGAACAAAGTGTTACAGTCATCATATTTGCAGCTTTACAATTTCTGTTGAATATGTTTCTAGATTATAAGACATCAATTACTATTAAACCATTAACAAATCATTAATAATTTTAATTTTCAAACTACCAGGTCGTGTTCGTGAATTTTTTTTCTCATAGAACAAATTCTAGGTAAAAAAAAACATATTTCGAGAAGAAATATGCCTAAGTGATTTGTAGAGTCTTCAAATGTTGCGGCGATCTGAATGTTTTTCTATCATCTTAAAAAAGCCCCAGATTTTATCTTATTTAGTAATTTTAATAGAAAGAGTAAAATCCTTTATGTACGAACATTTAAAAGAAATAAGCAATTTTACAGGTATAGCGACTTGATAAAATTTCAATGACTTAAAATAACTCTGATATAAAAATATACGGACAGAATGAACTGTGTTTCTGTCTCATAAAAACTGAAAATAAATAAAATGCAACCTTTAAAAATTACAATTCTTAAGGTTGCAAAATTTCAAAAAATGAAGTTTCAATCATTCGCTTTCTATAGTATTTACATTTGAATTTCAAATCACTTCGAACTCCAGTAATCTGTATATTTTAAGATATAATTTATTCAGCTAGTCTTACATGAAAATATCAATGGATTTTGTTTGTTTTTTTAATATCCCTTCGGGGATTTGTCACTTTTCACATTGAGACGCCACCATATACCTATGCCTATATGAATCTATTCAGCTAGTCTTACATGAAAAAAATCAATGGATTTGCTTGTTTCTTTAACACCCCTTTGGAATTTGTCACTCGTCACTTTGAGACGCCAACAACTGCCTGTGATTTAAGACCTCAACTTGGCACTTAAGGAGTAGGACCGTGCCCGTGTCCTACTGTGATACAGACCCTTGGGTCATAAGATCTTTGACGAAAGGCCAGAATCCATATCAAGCAAGCAGTAAGATTCAATCCCGCTACATAAGGATCAACTCCTTAATAAATGTAAATGTTGACCAAAGACTGCTAGCGTTTATTTACGTTAAATACTTTAAAGATATTGTTCATAATCATTTCCTTTATATTTTTTAATACATTCCAGATAGATTATATAAATTAGATTTAACAAATACGGGTCAACTTAGGAATTTCTTTTTAAACTGTTCTTATTTGACTCGTCTTAAATAAAAGAATAAAAAACAAACCATTTCTTGATTTATTTCTTTTTATCAATAAATGTCAATAACAGGCTGCCTAATATATTGAAAGAACAAAACTAATAATATATACATAAATTATTTGAAAAAGTGAAACGAAACTATATGTTCTTTATTTGCAAATTATAAAAGGCAATTGAAAAATTGTTAGATTACCAATAAAAATTAAAAGCATTTTCTATGCACAATAGAAGGACCGGATTCGTCATATTCTTGCTTGCTGATCCACATCTGTTGGAAAGTGGAGAGGGAGGCAAGGATAGAACCACCGATCCAGACTGAGTATTTCCTCTCAGGCGGAGCGATAATCTTAACCTTCATTGTGGCCGGAGCCAAGGCACTGATTTCTTTTTGCATGCGGTCAGCAATACCTGGGTACATGGTTGAACCACCAGACAAAACTGTATTAGCGTACAAGTCCTTGCGGATATCAACGTCGCATTTCATAATGCCGTGGAATGTTGTTTCATGAATACCAGCAGATTCCATTCCAAGGAAAGAAGGTTGGAACATGGCTTCAGGACACCTGAATCGCTCATTTCCAATCGTGATGACCTGGCCATCAGGAAGTTCGTAACTCTTTTCCAAAGATGATGATGAAATAGATGTTGCCATTTCCTGCTCAAAGTCCAGAGCAACATAGCACAATTTCTCTTTAATGTCTCTAACGATTTCTCTTTCGGCTGTGGTCGTGAAAGAGTAACCACGTTCTGTGAGGATTTTCATGAGATAATCAGTCAGATCACGTCCAGCAAGATCCAATCTCAAAATAGCGTGGGGAAGGGCGTAACCTTCATAAATGGGTACTGTGTGGGTAACACCGTCTCCAGAGTCGAGTACAATTCCAGTTGTACGACCGGAAGCATACAAAGAGAGAACGGCCTGGATAGCAACGTACATGGCAGGAGAGTTAAAGGTTTCGAACATAATCTGTGTCATCTTTTCTCTGTTGGCCTTTGGGTTGAGTGGGGCTTCAGTTAAAAGGACAGGGTGTTCCTCGGGGGCCACACGAAGTTCATTGTAGAAGGTATGATGCCAGATCTTCTCCATGTCGTCCCAGTTTGTGACGATGCCGTGTTCAATGGGGTATTTGAGGGTGAGGATACCTCTCTTACTCTGGGCCTCGTCTCCTACATAGCTGTCCTTCTGTCCCATGCCGACCATAACACCCTAAATATAAAGAAAAATATACATATAAATATAACATGTAAAATTTTTGGATAAATTCAGCACTCATGAGGTTGATTTTTAATTTCGTAAGAGAGGCATTGGCGAATTCCTAAATGAACTCTGACTTACATTTACATTTTGTAACCAACATAATGTACCGGTAATTAAAATAAAGATAATATTATGATTCAAATAAATATAGATCCTAGTAATTCTATTTTTTTTAAAAATCCATAGTTTTATCACATCTAATTCTTAACTTATGGATCATTCAAATGGCTTTATAGTACATCTTGGCATTGGTTTCATATACATTTACACAATAGTTCGTTTTTGTTAGTCGAACACTGATATCTTTCATATATACATTCATTATGTATAACTCATGTTCTGTTTTCATTGTACTGACATAAAAATTGAAAATTATTTCATCCTGGTTTTACTACAGTCCATCTTGCCACGCCCTAAATGTGTCACATACATATAAATGTATGCATGTTCTGACTACTGGTAGTATAGAAACATGATTTTTACCAATCAAAAAAATTAAATCTTGCAACTTTGCAAGAAGGATATGGAGATAACGAACAATTTTTTTTTTATATTTAACATTTAAGTCGGAAAAATACAGTAATACAAAATCGGAGTAGAGCAAACATTGACCTCCCAATCATCAGAGGTGGTATCAGGTGCAAGTGAAATGTATAAATCAACATTATCTGGGTAGTAAAATATATAGTTTCATGACCTCAAAATTTAATCTAGTTTCTGAGACAAAACTAATTAATGCTTCAATGAATTTTTACCTGATGTCTGGGGCGCCCCACGATGGAGGGAAACACTGCTCTGGGGGCATCGTCTCCGGCAAATCCAGCTTTACACATTCCAGATCCATTGTCAATAACTAACGCTGCAACATCCTCGTCACCCATTTTACGGACTGATCCTAAAAGAGCTTCGGATCCTTTCCTCTTATTGCAACCTGAGAGGTAGATTTACACTGAGGAAGTCACTTGTTAAGTTTGTTTAAATACTGCAAGGTAGATATTAAGCCAAGCAGAATAAAATTGCCTTATATGGCAAATGCTGTTTTGCTATAAATTTCTATCATTACTTGCTCAAATGCACAGTTTGGTATGAGTAACACGCGAACACAGCAGAAGACTTGGTGCTTATTAGGCATGACGCGTTTATATCGATTCAGCAAATTGAATTATCATCATATCCCCATAAATCATACCCTTCAAAAATTATAACATCCGTCAATATTAAGTTAAAATAATTATGCTCCCTTCAAAATCTAGTCTGTCCATCTGTCTGTAAGTCTGAAGCATCTTAAATCTTTATATACGAGGGGTTATCAAAAAGTTCGTGGACTGAGGCTATAAAATTAGTACTATGTAGTCTGTGCTTTCAAAATTTATATGGAACATAAAACAACAAAAAATAAAGAAATGTTGAAAATTTCAGCTTGATACGTTCATTATTTGACAAATTATTTTAAAATGAAAACGGCATTATATGATCACCCGGCGCCGTCGTCGTTTATTTTCATGACGTCCGATAACGTCATTGTTTTTTTCAATGTCCGCTTCTTCTACCTCATGCACTTTTTTAATGAGATTCCCTGGAGCTGAGTAAGGACTTAAACCAGCCTTGTTTATATGACTTTACAATGTCATGAACAGTGGCCTTCAATGATTATAGTATTCCAAATGGATTAATAGATTGGGAGGGATCCTCGCTTGATTATGCCGGCATATTTTGCTTTTGGGAGTTCAATATCTATAACACATGATCAACGTCATTTTTTGACGTGATTGATTTTTCACACCTTGACTGCAAATCGACATTAACTGTGTATCCCTTTTCTCTCTGAATCTATTTTGACATTAAAAGACGTGTACTCTGGATGCATTTTATTTTTCTGTTGCTAGTTTCAACATATTTTAGGTCTATACCAGTTTTTTCAGGGGCAAAACTTTATAAAAGGTTGGAAACGGAAACCCTCCCCCTTTTGACGTCATTTTCAAGGCCTAATTTTCTTTGTACATTCCGTGTAAAATTTACGATAAAATTTCATAGAACTGCCAGAATGAAGTGAAAATTTCATATTTTATGGAACAATTGTGTCCCAACCCATACCTAAATATACGGGATGTTTGGATGTCAGATGATCATATTATATGAGTTTTTCTCAATTACACTTAGGTCGCAAAAACGTCGTTTTCGAGGTTGCACCGCCTGGGCAATCCATTGCTTACAAAAACATTACTTATTTATTAAAAAATAAAATTTATGATTTATGGTTTACTCCTTAGATAGAAAAGATGATGCTTACTACATATTTTAAAATTCATTGATGTGCCTAAAGCGGTTTTGATTTTATGACGCTAGTCCACGAACTTTTTGATAACCCCTCGTATAAAATAAGCATCATGTTAAGTTCTGAACTACAACCTATCACAATTTTAACTGTGTCTTGATTTTTACATTAAACAAGGGACCAGATTCCTTGTCCTTAACACCATCAATGCGATTATACTTTATATAAAAAGTAAATAGTAGAAAAAAAAACATATCTTGATTTCGTTTTATAACATTCATCTGAACTTCATATATTTTTTGTTCTGTTATGCAGGCGATTTTTCCATTTTAATGGTTTTTTAATTGAAAAGTTATGTTCTCTTACCTCGCATCAGCAACGTTAGGTCTCAAATTAAACATATTATCAAAATTAAAGTTAATGAAACATAATTTAGCTAAAACCAGTAGTAGGATGGGAATGACCCACTTTTTACACTCAGTCGTTTCAAAGTTTGTGTTTCCACCTGTATCTATCAGAAATCAAGTAATGACAAAAATGATTAAATAGCTTGAATTTATAAAGATAAAAAGCAAAAAAAGTCAAACACACTCGTTATTTCAGCTCAGGCTTCTAGCCAGGTGTTTATATTCTCTCGTAGTTTTAATTTGATGCTCACTAGAAGGTTAACTAAATCTTTTAAGGTATTGATTCTCGAAATCTTACATTGATAATGTAGAAGCTACAGTAGGTAAAGAAAAGGTGTAGCAGGTAACCTATCAATACTATTGTACCTTACCACTGGTTGTGACTGGGATATCTCTTTTATAAATCCAGCGACAGGGAATTATTCCCAGAGGGCTTGTGTTTTACATTTATGAAAGGTTACACAAACGGAGCACCATACAGCGAACTACTAAAAAATTATTTTTAGAAGCAACAACTATACAAACACGCTTAACACAATGAAAAATTACAATATTTTCATAATATTTAATGCAATGAAAGCATGCTATTTGAGCAAAGTTACCCAGAACCTTGAAATTAACAAAAATTGAATAAAAGAATAAATAAAACTTGTACTCACCTCAAAAGCTGAGTGTTTTTATTAATGGAAGCAAAGCCGTTTAGATTTCTTTAAAATATCTGAAACCCTTTTGTCAGGATTGGAAAAGTGCTCTATAGATACTAGTTATAGATCAGACCACTCCATAATATCCTTGTCTATAGATTTTGATGAATTTAAGAAAAGTAGGGGCTTATGGAAGTTTAATAACTCTTTACTTCATGATAAAAATTATTTAGATTGTATCAAAAATATAATTTTAGGGGTTAAGAAACAGTATTCAGTCCCAGTGAATAACTTTGACAACATAAATAACATTCCAGATGCAATTTTTTATTTCCTTGTTAATGATCATCTTTTTTTTTAGAAACTCTGCTTTTAGAGATAAGAGGTAAAACTATTTCATATGCATCATATGCCAAAAAGAAAAGAGAAATGAAAGAGAAAGATTTAATAGAAAGTATCAAATTATTAGAAGAAAATGTTTGTGAAAATTATATTGATGAATTACTAGTATATAGTAAAAATAGTAAAAATCAAGAATTGGAGAACATTACAAAACATAAATTGCAAGGTACTTATTTCAGGAGTAGAGCAAAATTGGTTGAAGAAGGTGAAAAACCATCACATTATTTTTGTACATTAGAATCTAGAAACTTTATTAGTAAGATCATACCTAGATTGGAGGATAATAATGGTAATGCTATTTACGACCAATCAGAAATCTTAAAGGAAGCAAGATTATTTTATGAACATCTATATAAAACCACTACAGTAAACCCAAATACTGATCTATTCAATGAGTTAAATAATGAAGAAATACCAAAGCTTTCCAGTAAGGAGACAGAATCTATAGAAGGTGAAATTACTTTGGAAGAAACCTCAGAAACACTACAAAATTTAACCTAATAAGTCTCCTGGGTCTGATGGTTTTTCTGCTGAATTTTTCATGATGTTTTTGACATATATTGGTCCCTTTAATTTGTAGTTAGATTTATGAATTACAGTTATAAGACATGGTATTATTACACTTTTACCAAAAGGTGATAAGCCAAGACAATACTTAAAGAATTGCAAACCAATAACTTTGTTAAATACTATCTATAAAATTGCATTTGGCACTATAGCAAATAGAGTAAAAAGGTACCTTGACAAAATTATTAACAAAGATCAAACAGGTTTTATCTCTAATAGATATATAGGTGAAAATACAAGGTTAATTTATGATATAATGTATAATACGGAAGAAGAAAATATACCTTGGTTATTATTACTTATTGATTTTGAAAAAGCCTTTGATACTTTGTCCTGGAATTTTATTCAAGGAGCACTTAAATTTTTTAACTTTGGTCCCTCAGTTAGGAATTGGGTGTCACTTTTTAATACGGACATTACATCTGCAATTAATCCAGGTGGTTATCTCTCTGATAGAATAAACATCCAGCAAGGTTGCAGACAAGAAGACCCATTGTCCCCTTATATATTCATTATATGTGCAGAAATATTAGCAATCAAAATTAGATTAAACAAAAATATTAAAGGAATATTTGTGAACAATGTTGAAAAAAGATTTCTCAATCAGCTGATGACACTTCTCTTGTTATTGATGGTAGTAAAGAATTCTAATGGAAACATTAAAAACACAAAAGAGTTTATTTTTTCAGAAATGTCTGCGTTACACATTGATTATGCCAAAACGCATGTAGTATGGATAGGCTCCAAAAAGTTTAGCAATGAAATATTACTGCCAAATCACAATCTTATTCAGGGAACTACTAGATTAACTCTTCTAGGAATACATCATTAGGCTATCACGTTCTTATTTGTTTGTACATGTATTTTGTTTAACGCCCCTATGAAGAATCCTTAACTCACACGGAGACACCAACAATTTCTAATGGAGAGCTGCAAAATTTTGCCTATACTCGATACTCAGGGCCACTGAGCAGTTAAAGGTCTTTTTAGTGACATTAAGTACTGTGGGAAGGAGCCTTGGTTCACATGTGCATCGTCACATCTGATGGACCGGTCTCTACAAGGCACAGTGATACTTGAACACGCGACGCAATGATAAACTCATTAATCCTCAGCTTTAAAGCAGTGTCACGCCCTGGCTACTGTTCTAAATTGTGGAAATAAATTAAGCCAACTTCAACTTATAATTGTTCGAATATTTGTATTTACTTAATATTTGATACCGGATATTTTATTTTCTTTCTAAAAATACCCTTAAGGAGGTCCGATCCTAAATGATATTAATGAACTAATTAAAAAAAAAAATCTAAGAATATTCCCAGCACTGTTAAGGCCTACTATGAGAAATCAACGGAAAATAGACGTGCAAAAAAAGGGGGACCTTTTTAAAGCTGAATTTATTTTAATTAAGCTGTTTTATCATCACAGAATACAAATACTAATGGAAATAGCATAGTATAACCCACTCTGTACTGTATGAAGTTTGGTCCCATCGATGAACAGTCACGTGATTAATGCATAGTTTGTGTACTGAATGTAGGTCATGAACAAATTTCAATATCGCAAGGGCATACCCTAGTTGAAATTACAAATTCAAGCTATTAATTGTTTTG